CCCGCCTGTGTGTCCGCGGACGCGCGCGCGTGTGTGTGTCGTTCACGAGCCCTCTCCGGAGGCGGGGTGCGCACGCGCTGCCGTCGCCTCGGGGAACCCTGACCCCACTCCCCGCTCCGGTCCGGTCCCCGCGCCGGCCGCCGGCGCTCCTGTAGTAACGTCCTTTCCGCGCCGCGGCACCTGCTCTGCTGCTCCCTGTTTGTTCTGCCCGCTTCGGGCGTCTTTCCCGTACCGTTTGCTGCGTTCCGGCTTACCGTCTGTGTTCAGGGGCTTTATCTGAGGGCGAGGGCGAGCACGAGCGGGCAGGGGGATCGGACCCCTAACCGAGGCGGCGCCCCAGGCGCCCCGGCCGCAGTGGGAGGCGAGCGGCCGCTGAGGCACAGCGCCCTGGAGGCTTCCCTCCCTGCGGCAGAGGCTTTGGAGAAGCACGGCCCCTCTTTGCCGGCACCGGGTAAACGGGCCGGTGGAGACGCCAACCCGTCCCTCGTCTTGTCCTTTGCCCTTCAGCGTGTGTTGAGTGGGACGGAGCTGTGCCAAGTCTCGCGCCGCTGTGGTTTTCAGGTGGCCGTTCCAGCGCCCCTGCGGCGCTCAGTTCCCACTGTGTCGGCGCGTCCACAGGCGTGTGGCGTCGTGGCCTCCTGTGGGGGGCTTGCCCTCTGGCGTGAAGCCCCTTCCCAGCCCCTCTCAGGGCCCCCTGCCCCGCGTCCTGCAGCCGTGTCACCACCCTGTCTCCCTCCTGGGTGGCGAGCCACGGCCCGTCTCACACTTCAGTGTCTTGTTTTGCCTTTCGCTTCCCGTTGGTGAGAGGGTCTCGCCTAGGCTGCGTGACGTGTTGGGGTTTAGTGCCTTCCCTGTACGCGTCTGCCGTCCTCATCTGGTTGGAGTGTCCTCTCTCCCGCCACAGGCGGTCAGCTCTGAGCCTGGGCAGTCGGGGGCCACGGCGGCCCTCCGCCACGGGCTTTGTTCTGTTTGGTTGGGGTTTTGTTTGTGATGTGGTTGCCAAGAGGCGTGTTACGCGGAGAAAACAGAAATACTTCAGAAGTAATACTGTTAGGGTTTCGAACTGTTTTCGACAAAACGTGAACACCGGAGCTAGAGGTGAAAGCTTTGACACTGCTGAGTTCTTGAAATACAAACCTGCACGTCTAGAAGCTGCTGGGGACAGTTTGGAGACGGACGCGCCAGGAGACTGTGCCCGGCTGGCGAGCCGCGCCTCTCAGCCATGCTGCCCCTCCAGAGTTCCACCTGACGTCCAGCCTGCCCAGCACAGGACCCACCTTTCCAGAGACCGCAGCACCCAGGGCCTTGGGGAAAGGAGGACGAGTGGCAGCTGCTCGCCAGCTCAGCCCCCGCAGTCGGTGTGGGGGATGTCCCTCGGGTCCTCGCCGTCCTTGGGGACCCAGGCCGCTTCAGCGGTTGTTGCTGCCCATCTCCCGTGGTCCTTTACGTGAGCCAAGACGGGCAGAGGAAGGGGTGCTCGTAGCCCCACGTGGGGCTTCCAGGGGCCAGAGTTCAGTCACGTAGATGCCGGGAGGCCGGGAGAAGTGATCAGGCCGGGGCCCCGAGGGAGGGTGCTTGGTGCTGGTAGACAGCAGGGTCCTGCCTGTCACCATCTGCCAGCACACGCCTGCTTTCTGGCTGGCCTGTGGCCCCCTCGGGGCACCCCCTCTTCAAGCCTCAGCAAGGCTTTCCCAATGAGCCTGTCCACGGCAAGTCTCACCCCTGATGTTCTGTCGGGGGCCCTGCACGGTTCCTTCCATGCACCTGCGGCAGCGCAGCAGGCCGCTGAATTCAGGAGGTCACCTGGCAGCTGGACTCTCCTGGACGCCCAGGCCAGGGGTCGTCCAGGGAGCAGGGCACGAGGGAGGGAGAGTGCATGCGTGTATGCACGGGCCCTTCCTGAGCCTTCCCTTGCTGAGGAACGTAGGATCATTTAAAGAGCTGCTTGCACACCTGTAGACGAAAGGGCAGAAGATACAGCTCATGTTTCATGAGAGTAAACTGGGCCAGCAAGTAGGTAAGAAACAGGCTCTGTCTCCGTCGTGATCCGTAGGACGCCCCACAAGGCGGCAGGGTATCGTGTGTGCGTGTGCACGAGCACGTGGGGTGACCCCGCGCGGCAGCTGTGTGAGGGATGTGGGCGAGCAGCCCCCAGCCGAGGGTCGGGGAAGCTGTGCAGTGGACGGACGGGGAGGGCACCCTGAGGGCGGGCATCGCGCTGTGTGGTCTTTGTGTGCCTCCCGGATCTGGAACACGCACGTTCCACGAGGCCTGCTGAGCGGGGGGCGGACGCGTCCTGCGCGGCCCTGAGGTGCGTGTGTCCGCGGCAGATCCGTGCCTGTACATCCCGCGCTTTGCCCACCTGCTGGAGTTTGGGGAGAAGAACCACGAGGTGTCCATGACGGCCCTGAGGCTCTTGCAGAGGATGAAGAGGGACTGGATGCACACCGGCCGGCGCCCCTCAGGCCTCTGCGGAGCAGGTAGGACGGCCCCGGAGTCAGGCTGCCCAGGCCCCGCTGGCCGTGGGTGGGGTGGGCTGTCTCCAGAGGTAACCTGGCCCTCGAGGGCTCCCGTGCGGCCAGCCCTGCCCTGCCCCCGGTGCCGGGTTGTTACCACAGAGGGTACTTCTCGGTCCCCCGAAGGGTAGCTGTCCGGTCTCCCTCTGCACCCTCCAGCTCTGTCCCCAGTGCCTTGGGGTCTGACGTAGCCCTTGGGCCTGGAGTCCTACCCAGCAGGCCCCTCCTCCTTTCTGGTGGCCCTTACCCCACACGACCGCCCCCCCGGGCTCCAGTGCTTCCTGGAACGCCAAAGGCCTGCGCTCCCACGCTCAGCTACCAGCAAGAGTCCTCTCCCAGTGCGCTGCCGACTCTGGGCCGCTCCTGGTCAGCCTGGCTGCGGCCACCACCCGGGGCCCATCGCTGTTCCCCCGACCTGGCCATGTCCCCAGCCTCCTTGCCTGTGTTGCCAGCTGGTTGCCTGTCTGAGTCGCCTCGGAGTCTGCCCCCTGACTTTGAGGGGTCACGCGAGGTTCTAGACGCGTCTTCCTTCCCTCTGCGTTGGACACAGCACGTTCTGTGATCCTCAGCCGTGGCGGACTTCTGGGTCTTGGGACCTCGCGTACACCGCATAACCGTTACCCCCCGTGAGGCCGGGCCTCGCCCCCCACAGGCCCCGGGCAGGGCTCTCACCGCCCCGTCCCGAGGCTTGACTCCCCATCGTGCTCCTCTCCAGCACTTCTGGTTGCAGCCAGGATGCACGATTTCCGGAGGACCGTCAAAGAGGTCATCAGCGTGGTCAAGGTGTGCGAGTCCACGCTGCGCAAGAGGTGGGTGGCTCTCGGTGGTGGCTTCCTCTGTCTGCCGGTCAGACCCACGTCCACGGTGCTGCCACCTGCTGGTCTGGCCAGGACCCAGGGCAGCCCGGGTGCTAGAGGGGCCGCCCGCCTCCCTCCAGGGTCTTGGTCAGTCCTCCCGGCGCCATGCGTTGGGTAGGTTGGGGTGGACTGAGAGCCTCAGTGACTGGCCCCACCCCCGGGGAAGCCAGGCTCAAGCAGAGGCCGGCTGCCCGCGAGCGCCTGCCTGGGGTGCGGTGTTGGGGGTGGTGGGGCTCAGCTCCAGCGTCAGCTGCGGCGGGATAGTCGCGAGCCCGATCAGCGGCACGCCTGCCATTGCGGCGTTTTCACCTCGAATCTGCCACATCTGGGGGCGGTTTCTCAGCTGAGATCGTATCCTGGGGCACTGTCCAAAGCCGGAAAGAAAAGCGTTTTGCATATCTGACCGCTAATTCTCTTTAAAAATTTTCTGTTGAAAAAAAATCTAATTTAAGCTTTTTGTAGGTCGCGTAAGACAGAGGTAGTTAATCTTTAGGTGGTGACCGCCTGGGGCTGCTGGCGTGGCCTCCTTCCGTCTGGGCCTTGTCTGAGTCCCCGGTGGGAGCGACAAGTGTGCGTAGCCTTTCCTCCCCGGGGCCCCGCCGTTGGCCACGGCGAGTAGGGCTCGTGGCCGAGTGTGGCCGGGCTGCCGGCGGCTCTCTCCAGGGGCCCTCTTGTTGCAGGCTGACGGAGTTTGAAGACACGCCCACGAGCCAGCTGACCGTGGACGAGTTCATGAAGATCGACCTGGAGGGGGAGTGTGACCCCCCTTCGTACACGGCAGGGCAGCGGAAGCTGCGCATGAAGCAGGTGGGCCCCACGCCGGCCTGGCCACGCCTGCCCATGCAGCACGCGGCGTCTCGCGGCGTCTTCCAGATGTCGTGTGTCACGCTCTTATTTGGAAAAGAGTGGCTTAGTTGCAAAGACCAGGCTGGGTCTGCATCCACACGGTGCGCAGGGAGAGGCGGACGGATAGGTGGGGTCGGGCTGAGCCCTGGGGGTGAGGAGGGCACCCCTGCCGCTGGCTGGGGGGTGGCACGCGGGGTGCCAGGTCCCTCGATGGCCCCATGCCTTCCCTGCAGCCGTCCCGGGTGCTCCAAGTACAGTTCCCGTGGGGCACCGGTGGGGTGCGTGTGTCTGGAGGGCTGGGGCCCCTGGGCACCGTGAAGCACGCCGCTTCCCCACGCGGCCGCCTTGTCTCTTTGCCGAACGTTCTCGTTGCCTTGTTTCAGCTTGAGCAAGTCCTGTCCAAGAAACTGGAGGACGTTGAAGGTAACCAGCTGCTCTTGCGGTGACGGGCGCCCCCGGGTCCCTAGAGCAGCGGGTCTCTGCTTACCGTGTGCCGTCCCTCACCTCAGGTGAGATATCCAGCTACCAGGATGCCATCGAGATCGAGTTAGAGAACAGCCGGCCGAAGGCGAAGGGGGCCCTCGCCAACCTGACTAGGGACGGTGAGTCCAGCCGCGTCCCCCACGGCCTCGAGGGGCCGGCCCCGCTCGTGTCACCCACGCCAGGCACTGCCCCGCCGGCTGACCTCCACCCCTGCCTGCTGCTGCCCATCCAGGGCCGTGGGCTTGTCCTTTACAGGGTCCCAGCCGCCTCCTGGCCCTGACGTGCTGCGTGCTGAGTATCCAGCCGCCCCCCCCGCCCCCCGCCCCCCAGGTTCTAGCCCTCGTGGGGGGAGCCGCTCCTCAGCACCCAGATCTTCCTTCTGGACTGTTCTGCCGCCGCCCACTCTGTGCCCTCCTCGGCTGCCGCGGGGCTACCTCCTCCCCATCGTGGCTGCCACGCATCTGTTTCCAGCCTGGGGCATCGCAGAGCTGCTGTGCGCGTTCTGCGTGGATCTTTTTCTGCACCCATGCTCCTCTCTCTCCTGGACGCTCCCACGTCGCCTTCCTTCCCAGTCCTTGCGGCCCCGTCTGTAGGTCTGCAGCTGGGCCACGCTGCGCCGTGTCTCTGGTTCGCCCGGCCCGGTGCTGCCCACGCCTCCGACAGTCTGCCCGCTGCTCCCCCAGGGTCTGCGGCCTCTCTTACTCGTTTCCTCTCCCGCTCCTGAGACTCCTCTTGCTCGGCCGGCCCAGCGCCCCGTCGACCCTCTCCCAAGAGCGGGCATCTCCCGCCCCGTGGGTGTTCCCCAGCCGCCCTCTCGATCGAGCCCCCTGTGCTGCCGCTGTGAGCGGCGTCCTTCCCCTGGTGTTCGGCTGCTCGGTGCCGCTTCTGTGTGCCTGTGGGTCGGGACTTCTGTTTCCGCTCTTCTGAGGGCGCGCGCTCGGTCACGGGTTTTCCACGTGAGCAGTCGTGTCTTCTACAAAAGTGCTGCTTCGTGCTCGCCACTGACTCTCGGGTCCCTGATGTCCCCCAACGCCCAGGCCGTGGCCAGGCCCCCCAGCGCCTGCTGAGCCGCAGTGGTGGCAGTGGGCACGTGGCCCGGGTGCCGCCCAGGACACGGAGCAGGCTTTGGGCTGAGGTGCCACGTTGCCCTAAGATGGATGCGCCCACCCACAGTTTTCACTGGGTGTTGCCTCGGCTGTCGGTGAGTTTCTGCAGGGCCTGTGGAGAGAATGTAGGGTTTTCTGGGCTCAGTGAGTGCGACCCGCCCCCCAGAGGCGCCTGGCGTCCGGTCCGCACACGGTCTGCACGGACTTGGGCAAAGCCGCGTCTCAGGACGTGTTTGATTTTGTTAGTCGTGGGAGTGTGTTCTTTCTCCCCGTTTCTTTGCCTGGTTTTGTGTTCTGGTTTGTACTGATTTCTCGCAAGTGCTGCGTTTGCGTTGATTCGTTCATCGTGCGGCCTCCTGTCTGCTGAGTCGGCACCTGCCCCTCCTCCCTCTGCCCCTTCGGGGTCGCTGCTGGACGGGTTTGCTCTGGCGTTTGGGGCGTATGCGTGCAGGAAACCCGTGAGCCGCGCCGGAGCTCTGTGCTGCTCAGAGCCTCGGCTCGTTTCTCTCTGATGCTGAGGTTTTCAGGGGTACTTACCGCCCGGAGGGGCGGTGCCTTTTGTTTTCCAGTCATGGCGTGAGTGTCCACGCTTACCGCCGTGTGCGGGCGCGTGGTCGGCTGTGTGTTTGTGGCTGGCGATGCCCGTGGGCCCGCGAGGACGGAGGCGGCCAGCGTCGGCTTGCCCCACCGCGACGCCTGCAGCTGCCGTTCTGGGATGGGCGGGCGTGGATGTGGAGTCCGGCTCCGGGGGACGTGGGGTCCCTCCACGAGGGTGCGCGTTCCGCTCTGCTCCCTGGCCCGGCCCCTCCGCTGGGCCCTCCTCTGCGGCTAGCACGGAGTTGGGTGCTGCTTCATGCCCCAGCTGGAAGCTCTGCTCCTCTAGCGGTCGGAGCCTGTTTCCATCCGCCCGTGACTCGGTGGTGGTGCTCTCTGCACTCCGCGGGGGCCTGGCTTTGCACCGGGATTTCCTTCATGCCGTTTCCTGGGCAGCGTCTGCGTGCGCTGCCCCGGCCGCTAAGAAGCCGGCCAGCTGTCCGCCACCAGCAGGCCACCTGCCTCCTGCCCTGGGCCCAGCTTCTCACCCCTGTTCTCCTGACAAGAACGTCAGGGGCGCGTCCCTCTTCCTAGCTCCCCGCGGTCTGGTTATCCAGAGCCTTTCTGTGTCATCGGGATGGCGGACGTTTCATCCCCTCTGTCTGGACCGAGCCCGAAACTAGGTGGGGCTGTCCAGCTGCCTTGGGTCACAGGAGGCCTGACTGAGAGGCCACGGCTCCCGTGACGTGCCGTGGGGTGGAGGCAGCGGGCTGCCCTCCTGCCAGCCTCCCTGCAGGGCCATCAGCTGACACGCAGTACCGAAGGGGCCGGCAAGGGCATGCGATGATTCGGGAGAGGCCTGGGGGAGGGAGGGAGCCCTGCAGCTGCGTGGGGGGAGGCTGGTGCTCACGTGGGGTGCAGCGGGGGCGTGGGAGGTCCCGAACGGGGGCCAAGGGGACAACACGGTCTGACTCAGGCTGAAGGGAGAGTCGGCTGTGAGAGAGGCAGGGGTTTGGGAGCGATGCGGCCTGGGGGAGGCGGGACTCTGCGGTGCTCCTGTGGCCCAGCTGACAGGACGGGAGTGCGGACGCGCAGGGCACGCGGCTGCTGAGGCCGGGGCCTGGCCTTCAGGCAGGGGCGCCCAGACGTGAGGGCGGAGGTGCGGCAGATTTATCCGGAAGGATCGTCACCCTATGCGATTTTCTCGCTCACAGGGAATCGGACGGTTTTCTACCCCAGAGAAACGTTCACAAAGACGTGACGTTTTCGTGTGATCCTCGGTGCTTACCGTGAGCTTTTAGCATTACACGTTAAAGACTAGAGTAAGGCGTCCTGACGTGTACTTAAACGTTCCGTTGGGTGATTTTTTAACAAATTTCGTGGAGGCGTAATTCACGTACGACAAACTGCGAATCTAAAACGCAGCCCTTGGTAAATCTCGACAAACGTGCGCGTCGCAAAACCATCGCGGTGGCGGAGATCGTGGCCGAGATCATGAACGTGCACCCCCAGGACCCTCGGGCCTTCGCTGCCCCCGGAGTCCGTCGTGCCTTCTGGAGTTTCGTGTCTGTGGGATGGCGCGGCACGTCCGGATTCTCCGCTGGCTGCTGTGCTCTGGGTGACGGCTCCGGTCGGCGAGCACGGCTCCCCGTTGGTGGGGCCCTAAATGCACGCAGGTGGCCGGGCCAGCCGGGGCTGCAGCACATCTGGGGTGTTTCTGGGTTTGCGTTGTTGCGCACACGGCGCTGTGAACGTCTGTGCTCGAGGGTCCGTGTGGACGTTTGCTCGGTCTTGTCCTGGGTGCGCGCCCAGCCTTCTCTGACGCAGCCAGGCTGTGCGCGCCCCACCAGGGTGGGGGCTGCTTCCTGGCGCCGCTCCTGGCCTGGCAGGAGAGAGGTGGCGCCCTAGGCCTTCTGCCGGGGCTTGGTCGGGTCGTGTGGTTTCTTCGCACGCTCCAGACGGCGCTCACGGGAGCGCAGAGGTCTCGTTTGACGCCGTCCTGCTTGGCGGTTCAGGGGTTTCTGTCAGTGTCCCGTCGGGAAGTTGCGTCCAATCCGAAGCCACAGATGTTTTCTGTCATCGTTCTCTGAATGGGAAATTTCTTTCTTAGCTGTTCTGTTCGTTTTGAGGGGATTTCTGTGCAGCATGAGGTGTGTAGGCCGAGGGCTCTTAGTGGGCACGTGGGTGTGGGGCAGCCTCGGTGACAAGGTGCGTCTCCGTCGCTGAAGTTAGGGAAGTAAGTGCCTTTTGCGGCCGGATGGCCGTGTTTGTCTGCGCAGAGGTGGGGCTCTGGCTCCCTGCCTGGTTCACAGGCTGTGTGACGTTGTGTCCCTAGGCTCCGTCGAGGACTCCACGTCCAGCTTATTTGGTGAGGAGGACCCCGAGGACGAGGAGCTGGAGGCTGTCGCCAGCCACCTGAACAAGGATTTCTACCAAGAGCTGCTTGGCGGCAGCATTTCCAGCAGCTCCGAGGTGGCTGGAGGCCCTGAGGGGGCCAAGGGGCCCCCGGCCCTGGAGTCCCTGCTCGGCCCCCTGCCCACGGCGGCCAGCCTGGGCATCTCGGACTCCATCCGAGAGTGCATCTCCTCCCAGAGCCAGGACCCCAGTGAGTGCCTGGGAGCCCCGGGGACGGGTGGTGGATGGGGAGAGGGAGGGGGCTCCTCTGGCAGGTGCAGTGGGGCTGTGGCCGGCAGATGCCAGGTCCAGGTCACCCCCCATCTGTGGGAGGGGGAGGTGCTGCTTTGGGGTGCAGCCTCTTGGAAGGGTGGGCAGGGGAGGGGCGCCGCGCAGGGCGGTGCGAGCATCGCTAGCCCCAGCGTGTGTGGACACCCCGAATCCCAGCAGGGCTTGTTGCCGCCTCCAGAACCCTCGTCCCCTGGCCCGGCGGCTCAGGGCCTGGCCGGAGCCCTCTGCTGGCTTGGGCTGTGGCCGCAGGCTCCTTCCTGCCCGTGTGAAGCGTCCTGCACAGGGACGGGGACTGGCTTCCCCGCCCGTCCTGCGTCTGTCTGAGCCAAGGGCGAGCGCTGCCTGAGGGCACAGTCCCCACGCGTGGCCAACATGACCCGCTGGGCTCCAGCACGGGCAGTGGGGGGGTGCCTGAGCAGGAGGATGGCCTGGGGCGCTGGCGGCTCTGGGAGGAAGGCCCGTTTGGTTCTGCCACGTTTTACTGCCGAGAGCGGGTTCTGGCCGTCCGCCAGGACTGACCCCCGAGGTGCCCCCAGGCTGCAGACAGGCCCTGCCTCATCCCTGGGTGCCCAGGGCTTGGCCTCCGTGTACTGGGGGGCCCCATGAGGGTGCGCCGCACAGACGTTTGTCACGTGCCTCTGAGCCAGGTGACGGGCAGGTGCGCAACCTGCCCTGACCGCAGTGGCGTCTCGGGCGGGAGGGGCCGCGACACGGCACAGCCCGAGCCCGCCAGTTGAGCACAGGAGGGGGGGGGCAGAGGGCCTGTGTAAAGGCCCCGAGGCAGGGGCAGACTGGTGTTGCAGGAGTCAGGGAGCGGGGGGAGGCAGAGCCCACGTGGAGGGTGCGAGCAGAGTGCGAGCGCCAGGGGAGCCTGCCCAGGGCCTGACCGCGGAGCTTCCCACGGGGCCCGCTGGGTGTGGGCGGTCACCTGGTGATCGGGGGCACCCCGACCTCCGGGCCGTGGAGGTTGTGCTGTTGGCCCGGGGGGGTAGGAAGGGGGTGGCCAGCAGGCTTTGGCGATGTCCAGAGCACATCCCGAGCACATCACTGAGGACGCGCTGAGGACGCGCTGAGGGTCCATCTCCTGGGCTGGTGGCTGGAGAGCCGGACAGCCTGCTCTCCCGCTCTGAAGGTGCCTCTGTCGTAGGGAGTCCCGAGGTCTGGTGGCTCTGCTTTAGCGTCCTTCTTGCACACAGTCCTGGGGTGGAAGCCACACTGCACATGGAGCAGGGCCGGGCCTGCCAGTGATGAGGGGGCTTCCGTCAGCCATTGGCCAGAGCCGAGGTCCCAGCCGAGGGGCCTCCTACCCTGGAAGGGGTCCTGAGACCGCCCAGGGGACGTCTACGCTTGCTCACCAGAACCTGACCCCAAATGACCCTGGCGCTGTGCTTCCCCACAGCGGACGGGTGTGGGGACGGCGAGCTGGACCTCAGTGGCATCGACGACTTGGAGATTGACAGGGTGAGCGTCCGCATGCACTCTGTGTGCCGGTCGGGGCCCCAGGCGGCCATGCCTGCCCTGCCCGCACCGTCCCACAGGCCCTCCCGCGGCGGGGCCTCCCCTTCGTGCTGCCACACAGCCCCTGGGACCCATGTCCGCGTGCCCGTTTGTGGACTCAGCCCCTGCTATCGGCCTTGGAAAGGGTGGGGGGGACAGGTGTCCCTGAGCGGCTCCCAGGAGCGAGCCTGTAGCCCCGCGGGTCAGAGGCTTGTGCGCGTGGTGAGTGTGTCGGTGGCTGAGACCCGAGTGTGATGCTGTGCTCTGCCCAGTACATCCTGAACGAGGCGGAAGCCCGCGTCAAGGCCGAGCTGTGGATGCGGGAGAACGCCGAGTACCTGCGGGAGCAGAGGGGTAAGCACCCGCCCACCTGCCAAGGGTCCTGGGCTCCGGGGCCCCTGCTGATCTGCCATTTGGGGACTTTTCAGAGAAAGAAGCAAGAATCGCGAAGGAGAAGGAGCTTGGCATCTACAAGGAGCACAAGGTAGGGCTCGTTCGATGTGTGTGGAGACCAGCCCTGCCCCTCCCCAAGTCGTGCGAGGGCCCCCAGGGCCGGCGGTTCCTCCACTGAGGGCCTGCCGCACCTCTGGGACCCCGTCTGGGACCCGGGAGAGCCTGCTTGTCACGTCCGTCCTGGGGGTGCTCACAGAGACGTGGCTCGCTGCTTCTGTGTGGCTGGACGGGGACTCTGGCCGCGAGGCCAAGCTGGGGAGCGGTTGAGCCTCTGAGCAAGAAAGGCAGGAGCCAGGCATGCGCAGCCCGGGTCGCTGGTCTGCTCAAGAGCTTTTCCGGGGGAGGGCCTGCGGCTTGGGGTCAGGGCTTGGGGCCCCTAGCAGCGTGGTGGGCAGGCTGGCGGGCAGGAGACACAGCTGGGCTCCTGGAGCTGGTGCAGCACACCCAGGATCAGGTCCCTCCGTGCTGGGTGACCCGTCCCGAGCATGGCACCCTACTCCGCCCTGTTCGGGTGGCCACAGCGTCCAGCACAGCCAGGTGTCCATGTGGGTTCGTGGGCCGCTCAGCGCTTGCTGCTGGGTGACCCCTCCTGAGGGGCTCGCTGAGCTGGCCGCACACCCTGAGACCTGCCCCCAGTTCCCCCGCTGATGGACGGGGGCTGGCTTTCCCCTTCTGAGAGGAGGCGGTCGGGGCCGTCCTCTGGAGGCCCGGGCCCTGCACACCTCGGCTCCTGGGGCCGGGGATCCCCAGCAGACGCTGATTGCCCGGTCCCTCCCCCGACGGTGTCCAGCTGGCGGTGCCCCCCATCCCACGAGGCACCTAGCAGGTCTGCGGGCATTGAGATCCCCAGGGGGCAGTAACCCTCCCGTTTCCGTTGAGCCCAAGAAGTCTTGTAAGCGACGGGAGCCGATTCAGGCCAGCACGGCCGGGGAGGCCATTGAAAAGATGTTGGAGCAGAAGAAAATCTCCAGCAAGATCAACTACAGCGTGCTCCGGGACCTCAACAGCAAGGGTGGGGGCAGCCTGCAGGGGGAGGACGTGCAGCCCGAGGAGCGGGCCAGTGCCCGGAAGCTGTCTCGGAGGAAGACGCCTGCCGGCAGGAGCGGAACTGACCCCGTGAGCAGCGTGGGGAAAAGGTACTGTGCCAGGCGGGCCGGGCGTTGCGTCTGGGCAGGGGCGGGAGGCCTGGGGGCGCAGTCCCCACCCGGATGCTGGGTCTCACGTAGCATCTGCTGCCCTGGCCGGCTCCTGTTTGCGTGCAGGGCTGGGGGCTGAGGAGGGGGCCCCTACCCTGCAGGGTGTGTTCTGTCTCAGGGAGCAGGCGAGCCAGCCTGTTTTCCTGGGAGGGGCCCTTTGTGCACCCCTCCCCTGGCTGCGCAGCTCTCTGCCGAGAAGGAAGGGTAGAGAGCAGACTGCCGGAGGGGGTGAGCAGGACAGGGGAGAAGCCGTGGGCCGCGCCAGGTGCCTCTCCTGGCGGGGCAGCGCCCTGCACAGACGGGTCCAGGCAGCTCCGCACAGCTCCCTGCGCTGTGGCCTGCCGTCGGGCGGCTGCAGGCTGGCACTGTGTTCCCCAGGGTCCCGGCCGTGCCTGAGCTGGTCCTCAAGGTCATGCACCCAGCGCAGAGCTGCCCCTGGATGGGCTGGGAGCTTAGGGGCTGCCTGGAGGTGCGGCCTGGCTGCATCCCACCCACCTCTTCCTCAGATCTCCATCGTTAGCAGCTTCTAACCGTGATTGATCCGAGAAGGAAAAGTGTTCTGGTTTGCCTTTTTTTCTCGTGACTCAGAGTAAACATTTTTCATGGTTTTGTGACATTTTTTTTTTTTTCAACGTAAGTCATCTCTGCGCCCGACGTGGGGCTTGAACTCACAACCCTTGAGATGAAGTGTCACAAGCTCTTGTAACTGAGCCAGCCGGGTGCCCCTTGTGACGCTTTTTCTATAAGTGGAGTCTTCCATTTCCTCGTTCCCCGAGCCCCCAAGTCCCCGAGCACCCAGCACAGCCTGTCGCTGTCTGGCATTCCTGTGTTCCCTTCTGACTGTGGTCCGGGGCCTGGGGAGATGCACCCCAGCCTGGCTTCCGCCTGCTCAGTGGACCCTCAGACCGTGAGAAGCAGCTAGGGGACCCTGAGCCCTCGGGAGCCTTCAGACCACAGGGTCTCCCTCTTCTCAGACTGCTCCCCTTGGAGGGGGCGCATCACTCTGTCCGTGGTGCGGGGGGCTGCTTTCCCGGGGCCCCGGCTCTGCCTCTGGTTGCCAGGGGACAGTGTGTGGGCAAGCCTGTCTCATGGGTCAGCTGCGCCCCGTCCATCCTAGTGTGTCTGCCATCAGGCCGAGAGGGTGAGCGGGTGGGGCTATGGGCCCAGGAGGGGAGCATGCTTTCCAGGTCACAGGCCCTCCTACGGGCACAGACAGCTGCCGGGGCTGCTTGGAAGGGGTGGGGGGTGGGCGTGGGACCCAGACCCAGACCCCCCCCCCCGCTGGCTGCCTCACTGACCACCGTGACCCCTCTGCAGCCAGGTGGGTGGACAGGGCCAGCTTCCTGCCTCCTGGGCTCAGGTGGCTCTGGACTCTGCGGGGCCTTGAGGGGTCGCTGCTGTGGCATGAGCCCACGGAAGCCTCCCACGAGAGCTTGGAGCCCCTGTGCGGAGGGCCTGTCCACCTGCTGGAAGCTGTTGGAGCATCCATTCCCAGTGTCCCCGGGGCCTCTTGGCGTCACAGTGGTGGATACCACTCAGTCATCTGAGTCCCCCCTGGATGCCTCCACCCCCACAGGCCCTGGGGCAGGGTCCCTGAGCCTGGACAGCGTCTGTGGCCAGGGCGTGGGAGGACAACCTGCCTCCTCTCGGGGGCGGGGGGTCCCACCCTGGACAGGTCAGCATCCCAGGAATGTGGGTATGATGCTCTCCTTTCTTGGTTCCTTGCAAGGGACGGTGTGGAAGGTGCCCTGGCTTCTGTGTTTGGAGGGTCTGGAGAGGGAGAGGAGAACCTCCCCATGGGCCTCTCCTCTTCTCCCCATGGGATGACCAGGGCCGAGGGTGGCCCAGGGGGAGGCGCCTCCCACTGCGGCCACTCCCTGCCATCCCCAACACATTCTTCCTGAAGCAGACCACCCAGAACCTTGACTGAGAACAGCTGGGCAGACAGCCTGGAGAGCCCCAGGGCAGTGCAATTTTAGATTACTTCTTAAAAATTTTATTTTGGAGAGGGGGGGCGAGAGAGCACGCAGAAGCGTGAGCAGGGGGAGGAGCAGAGGGGAAGGAGACGGACGGGAAAGAATCTCTAGCCGACTTCACAACTCTGAGATCATGACCTGAGCCGAAACCAGGAGTCAGATACTCAACCCACTGAGCCACCCAGGAGCCCTTGATTTTAGGTTTTTATTCATCAAATGACAAATGTGCATCAGATCTGCCCAGGGCTATCTCCCATTGACCCACATAGCGTTTGAGCTAAAATTTGGGTTTGCTGCCAACGTTAAAAAGGAAGTTTTCATAGAAAAACCCTGATTTCCAGTTTCTGGCAGCCACCCCCCTCCCACCCCCGTTCCCAGCACTGCGCCGAGGCCTGGGGTGGGGGGGCGATGCTCACGCACATCACCGCTTGGCCTGTGGGGGTGGTGAGTAGGGCCGCTGCGCCGTCAGGAGGGGACGGGTGCGGTCTCTCGCGCATCCTTGTGTGCTGGGCACAGGCTAGGGGCTGTGTGCTCGTAGGATCCGCCCTAGCAGAGTGGGCGCGGGGTGGGGTGAGCCACAGCACGGGGCGGAACTGCTGGGGGAGCCGGGACAGGTAGGGGCCTGAGGCCTGCGGGGTCCGCCGGGAAGAGCGACATCAGAGTGAGCCCCGGGAGCGGAGTTGGAGAGGGAGTGCCCCCCGTCCCCACCCCAGGGCTGGGCACTCAGTGCACTCTGCAGGCGGAGTGGTGGCCGCGGCCTGGGCTGAGGCCACCACCCTGGGCTCTCTTTCAGGCTGAGGCCCATGGTGTCTGCACAGCCAGCCAAGAAGGCAGCCGTAGGAGAGGTACGTTGTGTGGCCCCAGCCGGGGGCAGGGGCCCTGGCAGGGAGGGACCGTGGGCTATCCTGGCCCGCACATGGGGGTCCTGAGGCCTGCGGGCGGCAGGGGAGGGGCCCTGGGGGCGGGCGGCAGGGAGCGGGCCTGCCACATCTGCCTCAGGCTGTGCGGCAGAAACAGAGGCTTCCTGGGCGCTCCTGGGTGTGCACGGGCTGGACGGAGGGGCTGCTTGGGAGCTCAGGGGGCTCTGGAGGGTGGGAAGCGTCCAGGAGACGGCAGGGGCCAGTGGGGGCCCAGGCTGGTGCTGTGCTGCCCGTCCCCCAGGGCAGGCAGCTTCCCAGAGCCTGTCCCCTTTGGCTGCAGACCTCGCCCACCCTGGGAGCCGAGCCTGTCCGGCCCTCAGCGGTGGTGGAGAGCGGGCCGGTGTCCTACCACCCCGAGGAGGACCCTGACGAGGAGGACCCCGACGAGGAGGACGGGGAGCCCTGTGTCAGCGCCCTGCAGATGATGGGCAGCAACGGTGAGGGGACCCTGCACGCTGGTTGGGGGGGCGGCAGGCCGGGGTGGGGTGGGGTGCTTCTGAGGAAAGGGCACAGATCCTTTGCAGCCACCCCCCTCACACCCCCATTCCCAGCACTGCGCCGCGGCCTTGGCGGGGGGCGTTGAGACCATCCCTAAACTCCGACCTCTCGGCTTCAAATGAAATCCTCTTTCACCCCGGAAGGAGGTGGGGACTGAGACGCTTGCAGGTCGGCTGTGTCCGTTCCGCAGGGGGGCTGCCCCCCACTCACAGGGGTCCTCTGCCGGGAGGTGAAGGGCCCTGCAGAGGTGAAGACACCGCCATGGCGGGCCTCAGCGATGGTGGGGGGCCTGAGCACCTCCAGGAGGGGCCGCCCAGGTGGGCAGCGCCGCAGGGTGTCCACGGCTGTCCTCTGTGCCCCACAGATTACGGCTGTGACGGCGAGGAGGAGGAGGGTTACTGAGCCCGCCCTGCAGCCAGCGGCGTCTGGCGGGGCTCAGACGGGGCCTCTGTGGGCCCGCCTGCCCTGCGGCCCTCGCCACAGCCGCTCGGCACCTCCGTGGCCCTCGCCGCCGGGACCACATCTGGAGCACCGTAAGGAGCGTTTGCCAGCGAGGGGACTGGACCCGTGTCTGCGCGTCCCGTGAGATGTGGGTCTTACAGCCCGGGGACCCTCACAGGTGGCACCGCCTTGTCCCGTGGGAGGACACTGAGGCACGAGGAGGCTCACTCGTGGAAGTGAGTGCCGGACTGGAGGGGCTGAAGCTCCCCACCGGCTGCCCCAGTGAGGCCTCGGCCCCCACCCAGCCCCTCCCGCGCTGCGTCTTCAGCCGGACCCGGACTGTCCCGCGCCTGGCCACAGCCCGGCCGCTGGTGGCCTGAGTCAGCCGCACTCTCAGCAGATGTGGGACGGTCGGCTCCACGCCCCCGGGTGCACAGCTGCTCTGGGGGGGTGCCCTGCGCAGCCCATGTGGCTGGCCTGGGTGTCGGGCTGGCCCTGCGCCGAGCCGGAGTCAGGCAGAGCGGGGTCTTGTTTGAGCTGGGGTCTGGCTCAGGGCCTGCAGAGGGATGGCGGGCAGAGAGGGTTCTCGAGCCCGGCCGCGCTGCTCTGGAGGGTTCCCGCTACCCTCCACCGCCCCTGGGGGCCCAGGGACCACTTTCAGGGTCTCAGTGTGGGCATCGCTTCTCTGAACACGGCCAGGGAGGCAGGGCAGATGCTTGTGCCCCTCGAGGCCCCAGCCTTGGCCGCCCTACCCGTGGCAGAGCCAGGCCACGTCCAGGGTGCGGCAGAGTCTGCAGGTAGGGAATTCTGAGGTCCTTGGCTGTGCCTGTCTGGACCCTGCAGCTCGCCGGGCCCCTAGAAGGCTGGACAGGACCATGAGTTCAGTGAAACAAAAGCCACTACTTGAACAGACACCCACCGAGGCTCTGGCCTGTGCTTTCCCGTCTGGCTCCGTGGCCTGCCCTGGAGGGGTGAGGCCACGGCAGGGCGCCCGGCCACTGGGGGTGGGAGAGGCGCATAGAGGCACCTGGCCCTGTTGTCACACGCACGATGGGGACGTGGCTTGGGCTTCATCGGCGCCCCCCTTGTGCCCAGCGCCGTAGGAAGTCCCCGAGTCTGTCTGTGGCGTGGGCTTGACGGCCGGGGCCCCCCGTGGGAAGGAGGGCTTGGCCGCAGCGGCTCCACACCAGCTCTCTGGCTCTGGGGTGTTCACTGTGCCGTTCAGGGGGCAGGGTGCGGACCGCCTGGCTGGGATGGTGAGCTCCCGGGACCTCCAGGTGCAGGGCTAGCGGTGGCTCTGGAGGGGATGGAGTCGCCCTCTGGGACACAGGGCTGCCCGTGGGGCGCAGCGCGCATGGCAGGCTTCAAGACAGGGCTTGGCGGGATGCCTCCCCGGGGAGCTGGGGCAAGAGCTGAGCTCGCAAAGCAGGGGAGGGAGGGGGTCCCTTGGGGGTTTGCAGAGGGGGAGGGGATTTGAGGGAAGACGCAAGCACTCAGGGTGGCCTGCAGGGCCAAGGCCCGGAGTTGAGGGGACATAATGGGGAGGAAGCCCAGGGAGGCTGGACGGGCAGGGAGGTCTGGGGGTGGATGGCCGGGAGCAGGTGTCTGGCTGAAGCAGGAAGGGTCAGGCCCCCAGATGGCTGGAGACGGGCCCGGGAGCAAGGGCTGGTGGGAAGGACTGTTCCCTGAGAGGGTGTGGTGAGGAGGGTCACGTGGGTGGGAGGGGGTGCTGGGGATTCGTGCTTTGGCGGTGACCAAGGTGCTGGTGAGGGATGAGGCCCCAGGCCAGCAGCTGGCAGGGTCCTTCTGGCCTCGTGCCCTGTGTGCCGGCTTGAGGGGGACATGCAGGCCAGTCTGCACCTCTGTTCCACATCTGCATGGGGCTCTTCCAGCCGGGGGCACGGTGTGGGGGGCTGTCCCTGGTGGGTACAGGCTCCAGCTAGAGCTCCCCGGCATTCCGCAAAGCTCAGCCCCTTCAGGGCCTTGGTGGCACGGAGCGGACCCTGCAGCTGCTGGGACGGGCCCCCCCCCGGCACCCGCTTCACCACCCCCTGAGCTGTGTCCCTGCAGGGTCGGCGGCAGGAATGGGTAACCTAGAAGCTTGGAGAGGCCTGGGTGCCCGGCCAGGGAGAGAGGCAGGGCCCTCAGGAGCCCCCAGTCCAGTGTCCGAGGGCCCGGGGCCTGACTCGGGCTGGGGTCCAGCCCCGAGGAGGGGCATCGGTAGTGGGGGCAGGGACGCCTCACCCCCACTGCACGCCGTTCCCTGCTGGCGAGGCCCCTCGGCGGTGGGCTGCTTCTACCCCGGGCCCCACAGCCTCCCCTGCGGGCTGGACACGTGTGGACCGCTTGCCCTGCTTAAACCACAGCATGGGTACTGAAGGGCACAGAAGCCGGCACGGAGGGGGCCTCCCTGGCCCGCGTCCTGACAGCCACCCCTTTCCGGGGGCCGGGGCTCGGCCAGCAACCGCAGGCTCGTCCTGAGAAGAGCACAGGGCTTTCCACTACGTCAGCGCAGTGCTGGGGGAGGGGCAGGGAGGAGGCAGCCTGCCCCCCCGTGTGCGAGCCCCTCCCCAGAGCCCTGGAAACCTGTCCGTGCTGACCGTCTAAGGAGCCCGTGTCCACCCGTAAGCACGCACACGTGCCCGTCCCTGGGCCTCCAGAGCTGGAGCCCCAGGCCTGCCGGGCCACTGCCCCTCCCAGCACCAGCGAGGCCGGGGTCCCTGTGTGGGGTCCCCAGGCAGCAAACAGACATGGCCCCGTTCACGCTGCCCCCCCCCCCCCCCGCAGTCCAGCTCTGCTTGGCCAGCAGGTCCCCTCCCGAGTCGCGCAGGGAGGGCTTGAGTGACGGACAGGCAGCACCAGCCCGGGCAGAGGGCAGTGCACGAGGACACGCCTGTCCCCACGCGGGCGTGCGTGTTCACATGTGCGCCCCCCCGTGCCTGTGCATGCCCTCCCTGCACGCGCACGTACGCGTTCACGTGGGCGCGTTCCCACAGCTCCGTCCACAGCCGCCGGACTGCCCTTCCGGGTGCCAGGCCCGGGGAGGCAGGCGGGCCCCAGAGGCGGCTGTGGTCACGTGCCGTGACGGCGCGTCTCCTGGCAGGGCCTGCCCTGGGCCCGCTCCCCGGACAGGAGGGGGACGCCCAAGACCAGGGGTCACGTCTGCGTGTGGCACCTGCCGGTCACCCGCCCCGCGCGTGCTGTGGGACCTCCCAGCCGTAGGGTTGGGACTGCGGGTTACCGTCTGAGAGGGCTTTGGCGGGGGGGGGGGCCGGCTAGAGCCTCCAGGGCCATCCCCGGCGTCGCCAGCAGGCCGCAGGAGCGCAGAGGGCGGGGACAGGTGGGCGGGAGGGAGGTTGGAAGAGCTGTCCCCAGTGGATGGCATCTGCCCAGTCGCTCCACAAGGCCTCCGTCCCACACCTGCTCGGCCAGCCCCCGTCTGCGGTGGCCGTGGTCACACAGGCCCGCTCGTCCCCCCGCCTTGTGTGCGCTGGGCCCGCACAACATGCCCCGCGGCCGCCGCTCCCCGCCAGGTGCCCTCCTCTAGCCCCACAGAGGCTTCTGGCCTGGCCGGGCCCCGGAGCGCTCGTCTGCCCACTGCTTCCAGAATCTCCTGAGGGCAGCGTGGGCCTTTGGGAAGAGGGGCAGGCGTTGGCAGCCCCCAGGGATGGAGATCCACTGAGGCAGGGTCTGTGCTCTGCCGCGGAGCCCGATGGGAGCCCTGCGGTGCCCGCTGCGGGGGTAGCACCTCGCCCCTGTGCCCTCCCAGGACCAGGCCTGGGTGGCAGCAACACGTCTGTGCGCCTGCTCCCTCCAGCATCCCGGTGTCCCCTGCCCCTCCATCCACGCGTGGCGGCTGCGGCACGGACTGAGCTGCTCCGTGGCGCCTTCGCGGCTGAGCCCTGTGCGGCTCCAGGGGCTGCGTGGGGTGCGGGGCTCCTGCCGCGGGTGCAGGTCGGGGCCGGCTGCCCGCTCCCGTGTCGGTGCAGCTGGGCCCTGGGAAGAGTGTAGGGCGCCCGGCGCCACCCCCAAGCTGCAGACGGCCCAGCGGGGCTCTCAGGGACTCAAACTGCAGGCCATACGTGTAACCGCCAGGTGGACGGGGTGCCTAGCCGTCTGTCCTCGCCCCTCCCTGCCCCCTGGCGGCCACTTGGGCACCCTCGGGCGCCCAGGCCAGGGCCCGCCTGGCTTCCCGCAAGGCCTCCCACCCCCTGGGAACCCTGCATTCCCCAAATAATAAAGACTAGGAGCCTTGAAGTGGCAGGACGTCGGCCTGGGTGTGCAGTCTTTGTCCACGGTGCGTCAAGGCCACGGCCACGGCGTTGGAGGGTCCACCTGGCTGGGCCCCCACCACACACGGGCATTGTAGGCTCACCATCCCCCCATATGCTGGCCTTGTCCCTTCCCGGGCCTGAGGACCCCCTTGCCCAGCAAGGCAGCAAAGATTGGCGCGGAGGGAAGGTGGCCCGAGGCCCTGGCCCTGGAGGTGCAGCAGGAGCCTGGGAATCTGCTGGGCCTCTTGGACCCTCCTCGCCGCCCCGGCCTCCTGACCGCCCCTCCACGCGCGACCATGCTCAGCGGACCATCTGAGCTCTCAGCCTGCAACCCGCTGGACACGACGCCCCAGCTGCTGCAACCCTGAAGAGCCCCTGGTTGTGGCCCCTTCCCCCCGCAGGGCTGGTCTCCGTTACTCAGCCCCCATCCTACAGCCGCACTCCTGGGCAGCCTGGCTCGGGGGGGGGACTTGCCCTGCTGGGGGCAGGACACTCGGCTTGTGCCCTGTCCTGTCCTGCGAGCGGACTGATGGCCCTTCTTGTGCCCCCCAGCTCCAGCTCCAGCTGCCTGCCCGCACCCAGGCCCCGCGCTGCCCCTCGGCAGGACACTCAGCCGCCCTGCACGTGTCCCCGGGTCCCTGGGGGATGCCAGAGGGGCTGGTTGGCTCCTGTGGGGAGGGCTCTTGTTTCAGGTTTCCAGGCTTCGCGTGTGGCGGGCAGGTTCCCTGCCTACGTGCCGAGAGGATTGGCTGCTCCCTGGGGAGGCCTGGGCCCCAGCCGGGCTGGCAAAGGTTAGGGGCCAAGGGACCGGCTCCAAAGCTGCAGGCCCTTCAAAGGCGACGTGGGCGGTGGCAGTGCGGAGACTCCTTATGGCCTTCCTGTCGGCAGAGGAACCTGGCTCAGGAAGCCATTGTCCCCCATACAATGGGCCCGGCTGGGCCCTGGGAGGGCAGGGGCCCCAGATTGGTGGAACCTGACCTTGACCCCGATCCACCGCGGATAGTCCCCAGCACCCTGGCATGGCTGCTGCGGCTGGCCCTGGCCAGGAAAGTGGACGGCTGCTCCCGTCTGAGGACTAGGGCATCAGCTCGTGGGTGGGCAGCAAGGGACCTTCCATCATAGAGAACAAACTGCTGACGCCATGGAGACTCAGCCAGTGCCCAGCTGTGCCTGCTCTGTCGGACAGCGGGGGCGCTGCCCTTCCCGTGGTGGGGAGGGGCCTTCGCACCAGCCAGCCTGAGTCATCGCCCCCGCCTTCGGAGGTCATTGTCTGCCAGGTACCAACTTGGTGGGGCCTGGGAAAA